CGTTGTTCCAGGAAGATAGGGCACCATGCCACACTGCTAGAAACACTCATAAGTGGCAGGAAGAAAATGGTATACAGAAGTTGCCCTGGCCGAGCCAATCTCCTGACATGAACCCCATCGAAAACCTCTGGGCCATACTCAACCGGCAAGTCAAGAAACAACCAAAAAAACCAACTTCGAAGAGCGATCTACTCCAAGTTTTGAAGCAAGAGTGGGCGAAAATACCACAATCTAAAATTGACGAAATGATTCTCACGATGCCCCAAATGATCAACGAACTCCACGAAGCAAGCGAATAGAAGATCTACTAGATATTAATTAAATTATAAATATATCAATCCATGTGAATATGACTTGTGACCACACTGTGTATAAATAACATATAGCATGTTCTTAATGGTTAAATCACAAATTTATTGCAAAACATATTCAGAATTAACAAGTAGCTTTAATTCTGTCTTTTTATACTCTGAACCAGTAACCAGCAATGAGAAAAAAAAATTAAAAATACTAAAAATTAATGAGGGTGTCAACTTACATTTATTTTCAATGAACTGATGAAGCAAGCAGGACTTCCCAGTACCTGCACTTCCAATTACTAAGAACTTGAAGAGGAAATCTGAAAAACAAACTATGTTTCACAAATTCTGATTAAACAACAATAAATCATAATATCACATCAGCAGAGAATACAGGCAATTTTGCTTTTATAATTTTTCAAATGGTAAATCCTATTTATGTGACAATCAGAATAACTAAAGATTGGCCATTAGTCAAATGACCAAGTAGTCAATTATGATTTTCTATAATCAGTTGTAATTGATCACAATATTATTCTTCAGGGATATATTGTTTTTATATCTTTATTTCTCTACTTCATCACAAGAAAACTGGATGTTTATGTAGTAAGTCAAACACAATTAAGACAGATATTCCCATTGGTTAACAGAGAAGCTGAGTTTTTGTGAGTTAAGTAAAAGGCTGAAACAATGCTTGGAATTTCTTTTGTCTGAAATGAAATGTTATCACTTGAAAATCACTGTAGAAAATAAAAGCTGAGGATTTTAATAAAATATCTATACAAAAAGTTTAAGCTATGAATTTTCTATGATATGAATTTATTGTTGACAGTAAAATATATATATAGAAAATAATTCCAAAGAAACACAACTGATTTCTAACGTTTTTATTTCAACTTATTGAAAAATAAAGAAAATGTCATTAACCAATTATAATCAATAATTAATCAACTCTGATCAACCAATCTGTAGAACTGGATAATTAGTGGAATTTGTTAATAGCTAATAAACTATTTTCTGAGGTTTGAAATAATCAAAAACAATAATAATCAAAACACTAAAACAATTAGTTGATTAGTTTTGTGACATTAGTCAATTTAATCATTATTTGATTTTTGTACATGACACTAATCAATGCGAGTTAACTTCTCAGCTCTACCAATCATTGATCTTAATATTGCAAACAATTCCTAATGCTAACAAGTCCCATTAGAATAACATAAAAGTTTAGCCAACCATATTTGTAGTAAAACAAGTTCATGACTGACACTGCTAGAGGCTTGACTTTCTATTTGATGATCAGTACATAAAGAAACTGTATATTCTAGACATCTTGTAGTTCTTGCATGCAATTCTGACAACATAATGGGGGTAAATAATCTATCTTTGTAAGTGTATAAATGGATAAGTAACATGTTTTATTTTTCACATTTTTTATATGTTAACATGTTTTATTTTTCAAATTTTTTTATATGTTATCCTAAATTAGATAAAGAAGGGTCTCTTAGTTTATCTGGAATGCATAGCAACATCTATGAATAAACTACAACATTGTTCCTATAAGCAACTTGTTTCAGTTATGTATGTACTTGATTCAGTTTTGAAATATTACCAAAGGATGGCTATAAAAAAATTACTCTATTTGACTTCATTCATAATTATTGAACAACTTTTTAATCTTCTCTTTTGTTGAATAGACATAAAAATTTCAAAAACTACTTTTAGGAAACACTAAAATTTTGTTGTTGTTTTGTTCTGGAGAGGAAAGTGAAGAGTATCTTTATATGACAAATAGCCACCTGATTTATTCTCAACCTTAAAAACAATTTCATTAATATTTCTCTTTATCTAGAAAATTTTCATGTTAAGCCAGAAGCTATTTCCATAATATTTGAGTTTGTTTTTCAATTTACATTATCCCAGTACTGAATAATGTAAGAAAAAAAGATTGCCATAGAAAGCCACTTAAAATGGTCGATCCTCCATCTTCAAAAAGAAAGAGCATTAAACCAAACCTACTGTAGCCTTTCAAACATGTCTATCTATATAACAAATGTTTTTCATCTAAAAGCATTTTCATTAACAGAAAAAACAAGTAACATGGCACTGATCTACAAGCTTGCAGTATACCATTAACAAAGAAATGACTCTGGCTAATAACAAATCAGCATCTGGATTTGCAAAAGCTTAAACATGTACCAAATATTTAATTTTAAATTTCTAAGTTTTTCTCTAATTAAGTCACCCACAGGTAAATTATCCAAGCCGTAACAATTTCAAGCATCTGAAACATCTAGAACACAGAAGGTGTTTTAATATAATTAAGAGATGTGGATAAATGGCTCATGGTAGGTTTGTTGGACTGTAAGGATAAGGTTTGGAATGAAACCCTAAATATTAAAGGAAATAAGTATAAGCTATATAAATTTAAATCCAGTCTTGTTACTAAGCAAACTTTTTCCTTGCTTATATTAAACTTGTGGAATGGTTTTCCAGATGATTTTGTGTGTGTGCTGGTAGTTTGAACTTTTAAGTTTTGTTGAATAATTTTATCAATGTGATTTTAGGTTGGCTTGGTTTATTTGCTGGACAACCTCAATGTGCCAGATAGCTTTGTCATCCAATCTTCTTTTTAAGTTCTGTACTATCAAATTATATGAACAAGTCTAAATTTTATGGCCTTTCTTTTAAGATATACTTTCAAAAGCCAGCTTCTATTTTAATAGTCTGTCTCTGCACTTCCTTCAGCTTGTTATCTTTCATATAGTAAGTCCAAAGCTGCATCCATCCATATGTAAATTTATAAAACTATTTCTCTCATCAATTCAAAGTTTCTAAAAGGAGAACCCAGTACTCAATAAGATCTTTTCATGGAAACTAAATTCATGGCAGAAGGCTTCACAATTTTAACTTTATCAACCATCGCTCTTAAATCCTTCTACTTTTCGTTAATACCAACATTCACAACATTTTTTATCCTAAGAACCCTTAAGTATAATAATTCTTCTCTTCACCCCAAACCCCTCAAACCTGAATAAAGGTTTTCACCCTATGTTGAAAAATTACAACAATGCAGATTTATTCATTTGAAGAAAAAATATATATACAAGGTTGCTCATAATGTTATTCTCAACTTAATAACTTCAGGAAGAAGGTTGGACTTGTGTTATAAAAGGTCTTCCACTATTTTTCCTTTGTTTATGTTACTTTTTTCCTTCCAGAAATGCAAACATATGAAAGTATACAGCCCAATAATCTATCCATTTTTCATATCTAATATCAGGAACCTTAAAATTTTAGTCCTCCCAGAAGATTGGTTCATTTCAAGGTTGTTATAAGATATCCACTGCCCCATCAGGTTGGAAACTACTGAACTACTCATTTACAAATATTCAGTCCCTAGAATCCCATGTGCATTAGTTTACACTTCTCAGCACTGAAATTTTCTATCTTCCAAGATGTTAACTGTTGGTCTTTTTGAATAACAGAGAAACTACCAACAGTGTCAGCCTTTCACAGATTTCTGTCATTAATAAGAATGTTGTCCTAGTCTTTGTTTGGGAAACTGACTCTGTCACACTTTTCATATACTTCTAATTTCATACAATAGGTATGTGATTCAAAAATTCCATTTAGCAAACTTGCAGATTGAAGTTAATTTCACACAATTAAATAGTAATATTAAAAATATTGTCTGGTGCCTATTAAGATGTAGCCAAGATTACATCAGCCTCAAATATATCTTGAACAACAACAACAAAAAATTAATCAAATGTAATTCTATAATATTTATCAATGGGTGCCTTCATTGGAATAATCAATCAGGTTCACTGATTTATAGATGCTTAGGTTAAGCTTACATACATTAGATTCTGTGTCTCAGATTTTCAAAATGCCTATCATCTACAATGACATGATATACATATACACGGAGACCTTTTGAAAAATAAAAATTCAAATCTCCACCTTTACTCTCCGAGCAATCATTGATTTTTGAAGTTACTCTTGTAATGTGTTAACATCTACTACTGCCAACGGCAACTCATTCTATATAACGATCAAACTGTTGAAAAAGTAACAAGGTTTTAATTGGGGCAAAGCTTTTGAATTGTGTCCTCTTACCTGTTGCCTTTGGAACATAATACAAAGAAATCAGGGGCTTTTATACTATTGATCTTCCATATAATTTTTATAAACTTCAATATCATCACCTCTTACCATACTCTTTATAAGACTGGAATAATGTTATGGAATATGCACTTTATATTGTTCTATATAAAGAGAAATCTCATTATAAAGCCATTAAATGTAACTCAGTCCATATAGTAACTACCTTTTTATAAAAATAAAACTCTTACCTGTATTCTAGCCCAAGTCTTTTATAAATATTAAAACATCTGTCCTCTTGTCTTAACCACAATGCACCTTAGAAAATGTTAACCTTTTCTCTTTTTAACAGAAAATAACTCCTCTATACCCAGAACCATCCTATTACTACTAGAAGTAATAATATCCTACCTAGAAGCCCTTTCCAGTAAGATAATATTACAACTGAAAAATAACTAGTGCTTTATATAAAATAATTACCTCTTTCGATTTATAATCAATACATCTACAAGTTATAAATATATCCTGAAATTCCTTTTTTTTTAGCTTCACCTCTTTTGATATATAATCAATATGTCTATAAGTTATAAATATATCCTGAAATTCCTTTTTAGCTTTACTATTTAAAAGAGACACTGGGCATAAAGACCCAAAACATGAAAACCTTGTGATTAAAATGTTCCATTCCACAACTGTATTTAATGGGAAAGAAAAATCACAATTCCTGTTGATTTTCCAATGTAACATAACACAAAAATTCAAAGTAAACTATTTTACTTGCAATTTATATTATTCAACTTTAGTCTTTAAATAACTAATTTTTAAGTATTTTAACTTGACATTATGAATTAATTAATTTGTAATGCACTGTTAGTGTTACGACGTAGAATACCACTATTTCAGCACTAAGTTCACAAGTACCACTCATTTTAAATGTAATTATTTAATTTTAACTAAAGAACTGGGTTTGACAGCTCTGGACTTCTCTGTTATCAAGTCAAACTTAAAGATAAGAAGGTTGGGTGCTATATACATTCAACATCAGGCATTCAACTTTCAAGGTTTAACAAGTAACGTTTGTTACTAACTAATTTTTATTTATTATTAATTATCCAGGCCTATACAAGTAGAAAGCGTATACACTAGTGTATCAATAATATTAATAATTAATATAATCTTTAAAACTAATAGTAATAGCCTAATTAAGCTTCTTCCGTTTCCTATTTTATCATTTCATTGTTTGTTTCGAAATTATCATTGTCGTATTTTTTCAGTTCTCACCGTATGATTCCGACATTGATCGAATAATGAGCAATGGCAAGTAGAACAATATCGCTATAACAGTTTTACAAAGAGATGTTATTAAACTTCTACGCAAAACTTTCACCTCAAAGTCAAAGTACAGTTTAAATAATTTATACAAACTTCAATAATTCGATAAAACTCATCTGTGAAAATGACGTAAATCTTGTGTCCTCCTAGCGGAAATATTTTCCAAATATTTGGAAATTCTTAAGAAACCTGTGTCGTTTATTTATGCTTCGCTTTTTGAATTTTAAACCATTATAAATATCTAATAAGGCTGGTAAAATAGATCTAAGTGTGAAATGTTCAAGGAACATTAAGAAACTTTTATTAGATCTATGATATTAGCTTAGAAGACATATATTCATTCTAAAATATTGTGGTTTAATCAAAAGACCATTCCTAAAATGAATTGTAAAATCTGAGATATTAATTATTAATATAATTAAACGCCACGCTTACAGAAATCTAAAGTTTACTGGTACAGTGAAGGATGCTGATGTTTATCGATAAAGAAGTTAAAATGTTTTTGTCACAACAAAAGGTAAAATGAAAATATCTACCTTAGAACACAAATTTTGTTTGAGGATTTTTTCCCATCTTATAACTCACTTCAACAGTACAAAGAAATCATGATTTGTTTGTTTGTTGTTAAACACAAAGCTACACAATGGGTTATTTGTGATGTGTCTACCGAAATTCATGGATAATATTAGTCGTTCATAAATTTGTTAAAAATGTGAACCTTATTGTTGAGGAGGGGATGCTACTACTTTCTGGAACTCTAGGCTTCTTAGCAAGTTTAGTTTCCACTGACATGCTCTTCTCTGGAGTTACTCATTTGGCCATTCCTCTCACCAACATACTTCCAAAGACAATCAAGACAATTTGGCTTGGATAAACTATCTTTCTGGATTCTGCAAATCACATCATTAATTAATCGCAGTACAGCATATTGCCACTCCCAGCGCCTGCTTAACTTCAGAGTTCCTCTCTTTTTTGCGGAGGGGGGTTATACAGCCATACCATGTCACCTTGACAAAGTCCATTCTCACCAGCATTGTCATCATAACAACTTTTCAATTTATAATTAACTTATCTAATTAAATCTTTCTCAGGTAACCTGATGTATATCTCTCTACATATCAATCCTATGTAAAACTCTTATGAATAATTGTCCTCTGGACGGCAGTGCAAAAAGTCCATTGGCACTTTTGTTTCTTTCTGAACATCAGGAATGATGGAGTGTTGCCGGTAGTTTCATGTACTGCTGTGTGATAATTCGTCAGTAGCAGTGGAAGATTATGATCACATTTTTACCGATGTTCATCCACACATATGGCTAATTGATCAGCGTGTAGTTGTACCTCTCCACCATGATATCCAAGGATCCAACAGATTTTTTGCAAACAATTCTGGTTCAAAGCTCCGTCCCTGATCTGAGTGAAGCTCCAAAGGCACACCAAATCTTGAGATGAATCTTTTCACGAGTTTCTTTTTAGAAGTTTCTTCTCCCTGGTTAGGCACAGCATATACTTCTAGCCATTTGATGAAATACTCCACCACAACCATAATGTATTTAATCCCACTGGGCATGGCAGGGGTGGTGATTAAGACACTCGACTTGCAATCCGAGGGATGTAGGATCAAATCTTCCATCCCTGAACATGTTTACCCTTTCAGCCATGAGAGTGTTATAATTGATGGTCAGTCACACTATTCATTGGTAAATAGTAGCCCAAGAGTTGGTTGTGGGTGGTGTTGACTAACTGCCTTCCCGCTAGTCTATCACTTGAAAATTAGGGAATGGCTAACAAAGATAGCGCGAAATTAAAAAAACAAATAAATAATTCCGTTCTTATTCTGTGGCAGAGTACCAAGGATATCAACAGCAACTTTTTCGAGTGGTGTTCTAATACAATATTGTTGTAGCTGCTCATGCTCTTTCTTTGTTGAACCTTTGTGCTCACAGCAAAATTCATATGTTTTCCACCGTTATCATTACATCCAATTGCCCACCAACTGGAAGACTGTAGATACGATGGAGTGCTTCAGAATGTAATAGAAAATGGGGAAGTATCAGCGGTAATCGTTGTTTCTATCTACTGGTATATTCCCATTTCTGAGATAATAACCTTTCCTGTTTGTCATGAGGGTCTTTCTTTATTATTCTTAAACCACTAAATAATTTGTTTCAGACTCGTAACCTTTGCCCAAGCATCTTCAGTTGTATGTTGTACTGTGTCAGTTTTGCATCATCACTGGTTGATGCCATAGGTTGGTCGTCTTTTCTATTCTGTTCTCCCACCTTCTCACAGTGTTTACAGTCTTCATTAACACGATCTTCCGTTGTTCTGTCCAGGGCAATGCACAGTGTTAAAGTATATTCTTGGAGTTTTTGAAGTCATTTGGCCTTCTGTATTGTAAAATTTACCAGCCACTTCAAAGCTGCATGATCTGTTCAGAGCAAAAATTGTTGTTCATATAAATAACTATATAAGTGACTCAGGGCTCAAACAACCCTTAGTAATTTCTGTGGCATTCATTGCCTTGATATAATAAGCAATAACATGTTCTTTTCTGTGTTCTTCACTGCTCTCACTATAAAATCAATGACATCTGTATCTAAAATGAGTGAATATTCCACAGTTGGGTATGCCAATACAGTTTGTTGAATGCTTGTTCACAATCAGCAGTTCAACATAACTTATTTGGCTTCTCAAGTAGTTCGTGTAGAGGACGAACTACATCAGAGAAAGATTCACAAAATGACAATACTAATAAGCACAATCCAATAAATACCCTTACCTCATGCTGGTTCTTTGGTATTGGCCAATTCTATACTGAATCAATCTTCGAGACATCTGTAAAAAATCCTTTTCTGTTAACTATGTGTTCCATGAAACTCACCTGTTGATGTAATAATTCACACTTCTTGAGCGTTATCTTAATGTCCTCTTTCCTCAACTGCTAGAGAATCTTCAACCCTTCAAAGATCGTCTCATTTGCAGTTATGTCATCAAGTAGATGAGTATGATGTTTCAGGGATTTTCTGGTCACAGACTCTGAAGTTATTTGAAATTAGCTTAAACTTCCATCCATGTCTGTATATGAAGTCAATTCCCAATATGCACTCTTCTTTGATGTAAATTACCCACACACCATGATGTATAGAGAAACTTTTTACAGTAAGTGTAACTTCTAAATTTCCTTTTGCTCGAATCTTATGTCCACTTGCTGTTCACATCACTGTTCTCCACACCTGTAGGAAGTTCCCACCTTTTAAACTTATGGAGCAAAGTTCAGCTGAGAATAGTCTCTCTGCTAAAAACAATATAAGAAATTCATTATTTAAAGAAATCAATCTACGAGTCTACGAGTTTATTGCTGGGAAGCCTTGCAGCATGCAGATCAATATGGGTTCTACAGTTAAAATAGTTCAACTCGATTTGTTAACAGATAATTCTTGTTTCCCGATGTCTATTTAGTCTTTTGTTGTCCCTTTGATTTGGTTAGACTTAAGACTGATTTTACTTCCATCATCAAATGCAGAATTTCCTTTAAAGATGTACACCTATTCTACTTCAGCCTGATTCTCATTTACTCGTCTGTTATGGTGTTTATAAATTGGTCATGTGTCAAAGAATCCATCATTTCACGAGAAGCATCTAGGTAAAATAACTGGGCAAGCCTTTCCAAATCTTCTGCAAGTTCAGATACTGTGTCTTATTTTACTCTACTCTGTTATGGAACTTTGCTTTGGATACTTCTTTCTGATGCGACACTTCACACCTATTGGGTAAGGTAGCTACCAATGTTTGATAGTTGTTAAGACTCTCAGCTAACTCCGCCATTGCCTGGTCCCAAGTCCAAGATGAGAAAGGAGGAGGGTTGGGCGCGGGGCTAGCAACTCCACCCAGTAAAAAAAAACCTGCTACAGAAACTGCAATAACAACTCCATCCCAGCAACTGCCTGGACGGGAAGACTCCTCTTCGGCGGGGCCCATGACGCGGACTGGTGAAAGCCTTCGGGAAGACAGCTCGCCGACAAGTCTTCTTACGACCAAGGCCAAGACCAGGATAGGGACCTGGAACATCAGAACCCTGTGCAGGCCTTGGACTGGAACAGACGTGAAGGAGATCGGTCTAGAGTGAAGCGAAGGCAGCCAGAATGGCGTGGATCCAGCTGAGGAGAGCAGCCCAGAACAGAGTTCGTTGGCGAGGTTTTGTTGCGACCCTATGCTCCACTGGGAGTCTACAGGATTAAGTCAAGTCAAGGCTCTCAGCTAGAAACTTACTTAATGTTTTCAAAGCTGGTCCTTTTAAACGGGCAGCATGATGAACGGCTTATTGCTTACCATTCCACCCGTTCGCCCTAGAAATGATTTCAAACCGATCTTAGTATGACTCCCATGATACCTTTCAAGCATAGTTCATTGGTTTCCTTTTGAGCCGATGTTGAACTGGCAAGCTAAATTCTGAAAATTAATTTGGTATTGTTATTGCTGGAGCAGTCTAGGAGGGTCCTTAAGTAACAGGTAGCATACAAATAGTGGTAATAAGTGTAAACCAAATAAATTCTCATAGTCCATATTTTGTACCAGATGGCTTCCCAGGCTGGAACTCCTGAGCTGATGCGAAAAGAGGTGTGGCTTTAATCTTTGCATTTAATAATTTGTTTTCCAGGTGCTTTATTATGTCGCTGATGTTCTTTTCTACCTCAATAGTGCCCTTTACTACTTAAATGATATTTATTTTTTCACTTCACTTTTGACTTCGATTTTGCCATTACAGCTTACTATATTTTGATGTCCTTCTGCATTTCTTCAAACTTATATGTCCCCTATAGTTTCATCCGTCTTGTTTTCAATCAAATTTATTTTAAGATTTCAATTTGTCTTTAAATACTATATCTCTTTCTTTTAACTCTTCCTTAAAAATTGGCCCGGCATGGCCAGGTGGTTAGGGCACTCGACTCGCAATCTGCGGGTTTGAATCCCCGTACCACCAAACATGTTGGCCCTTTCAGCCGTGGGGGCGTTATAAAGTGACGGTCAATCCCATTATCCGTTGTTAAAAGAGCAGCCCAATAGATGGCGGTGGGTGGTGATGACTAGCTGCCTTCCCTCTAGTTTTTCACTGCTAAATTATGGACGGCTA